TTCTTCATTGACCAATAATTGTTCACTATCATTTTGTTTAATCTTCACGTGTTTGTGGCTTTTGTGATTTTCTTCTTGTAGTTGAGTTCTAGTTTCATACCTTTGTGGTCAGAAAAGATGCTTGGTATCATTTCAACCTTCTTAAATTTAGTGAGACTTATTTTGTGGCCTAATACGTGATCTATCCTGCAGAATGTTCCATGTACATTAAAAAAGAATGTGTATTCTGCAGTTTTATTACTGTCTATTTCATCTTTTATGTCTGTTAATAGTTGCTTTATATATTTAGGTGCTCCTATGTTGGTTGCATAGATATTCACAAGTGTCATATCCTCTTGTAGGATTGTTCCTTTTATCATTATATAGCGCCGTTCTTTGTCTCTTGTTACAATTTTCATTTTAAGGTCTTTTTTGTGTGATATAAGTATTGCTACCCCAGCTTTCTTTTCACTGCCATTTGCATGGAGTATCTTTTTCCATCCTTTCACTTTCAGTTTGTGAGTGTCTTTGGATCTGAAGTGTGTCTCTGGTGTACAGCACATGTATGTGTCTTGTTTTTTAATCCAATCGGCCACCCTATATCTTTTGATTGGAGCATTTAGACCATTGACATTTAAAGTAGCTATTGATAAGTATATATTTATTGCCATTTTGTGACTTTTTTTCTGGGTATTTTCGTAGTTCTTCTCAGTTCCTTCCTTGTTCTCTTCCCTTGTGGTTCGATGGCTTTCTTTAGTGTTATGTTTGGGTTTCTCTTAATTTCTTGTGTATTTATTATAGGTTTCTTGTTTGTGATTATCATGAGGTTCATATCATATATAATAATGTATGTAAATAGCAACCTATATTTAGTTGATGGTCTCCTAAGTTTGACCTCTTGCTAAAAGCTCTGCTGTTTTACTCCCCTCCTCCCACATTTTATGTTGTTGATCTCATATTTAACCTCTGTGTGTGTGTGTGTGTGTGTGTGTGTGTGTGTGTGTGTGTATCCATTACCCTCTTATCATGGAGGTAGATGATTTTAGTACTTTTGTCTTTTGACCTTCATATTAGCTTCATAGGTGGTTGGTCTGCTGCCTTTACTGTATATTTGCCTTTACCAGTGATTTTATTGCTTCTTTTTGTTTTTTGGTAATTTTCTTATTCCTATTTGTGCTCTTTTCTTTTCCACTTAAGTTCCTTTAGCCTTTCTTGTAAGGCTTGTTTATTGGTGATAAACTCTTTTAGTTTTTGCTTGTCTGAAAAACTCTTTATCTCTCACTCCATTCTGAGCAATAACCTTGAGGGTAAAGTATTCTTGGCTGTAGGTTTTTTTCCTTTCAGCGCTTTAAATATATTGTGCCACTCCCTTCTTGCCTGTAAAGTTTCTACTGAGAAGTCAGCTGTTAGCCTTATGGGGTTTCCTTGGTATGTAACTTGTTGCCTTTCTCTTGTAGCTTTTAGGATTCTCTCTTTATCTTTAATTCTTGACATCTTAATTATAATGTGTCTTGATGTGGGCCTCTTTGGGTTTATCTTGTTTGGTGCTCTCTGTGCTTCCTGTACCTGGATGTCTGTTTCCTTCCTTAGATTAGGAAAGTTTTCAGCTATTATTTCTTCAGATAGATTTTCTGCCCCTTTGTCTCTCTCTTCTCCTTCTAGGATACCTATACTATGGATGTTAGTGCACTTGATGTTGTCCCAGAGGTCCCTTAGACTGTCTGCATTCTTTTTAATTCTTTTATCTGTTCAGCTTGGGTGATTTCCTTAGTCTTTTGTCCAGCTCACTGATCTATTCTTTTGTATCATCTGCTCTGCTTTTGCGTCCCTCTAGTGAATTTTTCATTTCTATTATTGTATCCTTCATTTCTGATTGGCTCTTTTTTATATCTTCCAATTCTTTGTTGAAGTTCTAACTGAATTCATCCATCCTTCTCCCAAGATCTGTGAGCATCCATATGACTATTAGTTTGTACTCTTTATCAGGTAGATTGTTTATTTCTGTTTCATTTAGTTCTTTTTCTGAGGATTTGTCCTGTTCCCTTATTTGGAACATATTCCTATGTCTTCTAAATTTGCCTCTTTCTATGTGCTTATATCTAAACATTAGGTAGATCAGTTACATCTCCCAATCTTGGAGAGGTGACCTTAGGTAAGAGATGCCTTATGAGGCCCAGTAGTGTGCTTCCCTCTCATTACCAGTTCCAGAAGTTTCGAGAGTGTCACCTGTGTGGGCCATGTGTGTCCTTCTATTGTGGCAGGGTTGCTCTTGCTGCAGGTGCACAGGGAGGCTAGGCTATCCCCCTGGCCAGATGGTTGTAATGCTCAGCTGTGTTTGGCTGCTATGATCCCTTCAGTCACTCTGTCAGACATGGGGAGCCCCAGCACAGTCAGCTGCAAGGTGTAATAGAACATTCCTGCTGCAGTTTTCCTGTTAAGTGAGTAGGCCACCAGCATGGCTGGTTGGGGTAGGCTCAGGGGCTTACAGTTGCTCTAAGCCTCTGGCCTACAAGGCTGTTTTCAGCTCACTCAGTAGTGCAGCCAGATGGAGCTGGCCCCCAGCATGACAGCACACAATTGTTTCAGGCATTGGAAGGTGGAGGCGATCCCCTATGTGGCTTAAGATTGCTCCCTGCTGTGACGTGCTGCAGCAAGAATGTGGCTTTTTCCTCTCCAGAAGGGAATTTCTGCCTCTTCCACCTCAGTCAGCACTGTCCCTTGTTGTGGGGGTTATTTTTATCCAGTTTTCAGTTCTCTCTCAGGGATAATTGTTACAAGGGTAGTTGTAAATTTGTCATGTCTGTGGGAGTTGATAAGTTCAGAGTCCTCCTATGCCACCATCTTCCAAGCAACCCTCCAAGATTTTCTTCTTAAAGTCAGAAACAAGACCAGGATGCCCACTATGTCCACAATGGTTAACCTTAAGTTGTGGAATGAGCTGAAGTAATAAGACAAGAAAAAGCAACTTAGAGACATAGGAACTGGAAAGAAAGAGAGAAAAGCATTGCCATTTGCAGATTATGTAAATATAGAAATGGAAACCTTAGAAGAATCAATGGAAAAACAATTCCAAGCAATAACAAGTTTAGTCAAGTTCTTGGTTATAAAATCAATATGTAAAAATCAATTGCTGTCATATATACAAACGAAAACCAGATAGAGGACATAATGAAAGAGAAATTCCGTTTATGATAACAAAAGATAAAAAAAAATTCAAAATACATATAGGAAAATTATAGAATACTCTTGAAAGAAATAAAAGTAGACTTGAACGAATTATTTAAAGTACCATGTTGTTAGATAAGATACAATGTTATGCCTATGTCAGCTTTCCCTAAGTTAATTTATAAACTATGTGTAATTGCAATAACACTTCCATAAAGTTTTTTCTAGAGCTGTAAGTCAATTATGAACTACTGTTTCACAAATCTTAGTTATTTCCAGGGATGGAGGTGCCAGCCTCTGGAGCAGGGGGAGGAGGAGTATGGGAGGAACTGGGCTTGCTTTGTGTGTGATGTGCTTCATGGCTTACATATCTCTCATTGAGCTCACCACTCTCCATGCTCCCTCTTATGAACCCTGAGCTGGTGAATTCCCGTTTGGGAACCAGCATTCTGGAAGCTCGTTTGGTTCATTGTGCTGTGCTGATGGGCTGCTGGCCTATAACATGTCTTTTAGGTTGGTCTCCACCTGGGCCTTTGCTCATTACAGAGGTGGCAGTCAGAGAATGTTATTTGGGGAGAATGAACTTTTCAGTGCCTCCTCAGTTTTCTCTCTAATATTGCCTTCTCTTCCTGACCCTAAATGGATGTTTGATAAGAATGCTAAGGTGTGAAAGACATTGTCATTTGCTTAAAAAGTGCTGGTGCTGAATGGTCTTCTTGGTTGTGTTGGTGAGGAGTTGGCCCAAGTTTAGTGTTTTATCTTCTCTTCAGTTGCTAACAATCATTTCCTAGCATGGATTTCCAGCTTGTTCCCAATATTAGGCTTTTTATCCTAAACTGGTCATTTATGATGAATTGTAGATGCTTTATATTAGTTATGAAACCACAATAAATATTTCCAGCCTTTTTCCCTTATTACTTCTCACTGGGCCGTTTCCTGCTTCCTGAGTGTGCCCTGTACTCTACCCTCACCCTACCTTTGCTTAAGCTATTCTCTCTTTCTCCCTTATTCCTGTCTGAAATCCTGCCCTAAAAGCCTGTCTTCAGGGCTATTTTCAAAGTTCTTTTAAAAACCCTCTTCCTTATTTTTCAAGCTGAATGTGAATATACTGGTGTTTATCAAAGCAAAATCATCCTTTATTTCTCAGTAATTTGTGTTTGTTCTGTAGTCTCCTGTTCAACTGTGAATATCTTCATTGCAGGGACTCTGTTTTATTTATGTAACTTCAGAAACACTTTGCTTATTTCCCTGCATGTAGCAGGAAGATGGGATTGAATTAAGAAAAACCAAGGGCTTAATGTAGTCCAGTGGCATGGACTAACTATCCAAGTGGTCCATAAGAGCTCACCCTTTGGAAACTCCTGAATTGAGCATAATCAGTCACCAGATTGTGCCAGTGACCCACACGGGAGCAATGGTGGTCTTCCTTATGACACCACAAAGCAGAACCTGCTGCTAATCAGATAATTCTGGCCCCTGTCTGCTTAGGTTTTCCCCAGGCTCTACAAGCACCTGCAGCCTAGGTAGACGGTAGGGTGTCAAACTGGAAAAAAGTCTTCCTTAACACTTGGTACCAGCCCAGATTCCACATACAGAAGACCATGAGAGTTGGCTCTGCTCATTAAAAACTACATGATTAACAATATTTTTTGCCTAAGCCCCCAAAGCAACAAGTTGTTTACATTTACAGATATGTGTGTGTTGAGAGTTTAGCAGACCCAACATTGCTGAATGTCATGTTCTTATGAGATTGTTCACCTTTCTGTGAATAAATGGCTAAGAATAGGTGAGATATTTGCAAGTATCTGTACATATGAATTATTCTTCAAAAACACAAAATCTTTCTTTTCTTGCAGGAATCCAGGAGCTTTGAAGTCATGAGAAGAGAAGGTAGGGAAAATGCATTCATACCCATTTCATTCTCAGTGTTGACATTTGGAAATAGTTTGTTGAAGCTCAGATGAACTTCAGATTGTGGGCAGCCTGTTATTTGAAATTTCATGCAGCCTTTTCTGGTTGCTGACTATTTGGCACTTGCCTCTAGGGACTGCAAGAACTGAGTTTGCTTGTGAGAACCATGTCTTCTACCTTCAAGCATCAGAGGTGGAGTCTGGGGAACTGGCTCATTCATGAGCAAGTTTACAGTCTCTTGAGAGAAGGCTCGTTTTTGAGTGAAGTTTGAAGTAATTATTTAGTTTCACTCAGCAAAAACAAAATCAACAATGAAAAATGGCTTATGGTTTGAGGTATTTCAATATCTGGGAAAAGATGCCACTGTGAAAAATATTTCTGATTAGATTTTCACAGCTTTAGCTAAGCTGAAATAGAAATAACCAATTAATTTCCCTTCTGAAAACAGTTCCATGATGTTCTATTTTCCCTGAAAGAATGCCTCTAGCACATTTGTTTTCTGGTCTCTGAGGTAAGTGTATATGGGTGGTAATTTCTGAAATCTTTTAGCAGAAATTGAAGTTTCCCTTATTCACTTTCAGCAATATCTAGTTTCTAATAAGAGGATGTCTTTTGTATGATCTATGGTGTCATCACCAATCATCCCTTTATTGCAGGAATGGGAGGATGAAGTCAGAAACCAGAGTGAGTTCTTGGTCTAGGATCTGGCCTTTGGTTTTAGCCTTAACCACATCCTTCCCTGTGGCATTGTCTCCAGAAAGAGTGGCAGTCTTAAAAAGTGAGCAATATCCATATTGACTCCTAAATCTAGCATATCCTTGTCTCCTGATTCATTCTTATTTTATGTATCTCAATGAAAGACAGAGAATGGCCATGTTATCAAAGTGTTTTTCTAGAGCTTGGAGACCTGAACTTTCCATACTATCTATATTGGTGGACTAATTGAACTGGTCTTTGCTGCTGTCCATGGTTCTGAAACCCTGGATTCAAAGGTTGTGGCTAGTCTGGCTCTAGGATGAACTTTCTGGCTTCCATTCCCATTTACCGTTATCTCTGGTTTTGCACTCCATGTCCTCTGAACTGCATCCATAGGGTAAATTGCATTGTTTGGATATCAAAACCAAATGAAATTGGATGAAGGCAGCTGGGGCAAGGAAGGCATGTTTCTTATTGGAAGTTTTGTTCATAATGGGCATGCTGACTTTGTAAATTGGAGAGAAGTAGTCATAAGGAGAGAAGTTGACATGAACTTTGGTTTTGAATACTATTCCATTCATGTCAGTACCCCTGAGTGTGAATGTTTGGAATTAATTTACATTGTGGAATCGCATATAAACTTGTTTTGGAATCTTACTGTCCTTGTGTTAGAAATGTCTGTAAATAGTAAGGCTGGGGCATGAGAGAACCATGTGCATTTTTACTCAAAGGCATAAAAAGGCCTGGTTGGACTTAACACTCCAAATCTCTAAAAGATTGAATGTGTCTGAGGATGAACAAAGGCATGTTCAGGCTGCACGCTACTCATCCAGAACCTCTTCCTCTCTGAAAGCATCAGCTTTCACAACTGGCTGACTGGGAGCATCTGCTTTGGGTTTGTACTGGCAAATTCGTCCTGACGTCATGTAAACTTTTGTCTTCCAGTTGTGAGCTGATGTCTTTCTTGCTTGTTTCTGTCAAAGTTGAGTGTCTGAGACCTCATGAAATAGCCTTGTGCCTTAATGTCAATGCTTATAACCTAACAGGCGGGAAGGAAGAGTGGGACCTTGAAGGTTGGTTCCAAGTACTTTTGGGTTTGAGGATTCACTGGCTTGGGTAGTGGGGTTGTTCGTCTTCTCTAGAACAGTGTATGAGCAAAAAGATAATAGAGGCACTGTGAACGTTTCAATAAATTATTCCTACAAACAAAAACAAGACATTATTGTCCAGCAGCAAACACTAAAGATTGGTTCCTTAGCTCTGACTCAAACTGGAACTGAAAGAGGAACAAATAAGTAACACTCTGATATTTTTCTGCTCAGCTTACCCTGCCCAGGAGATTCTGGAGGGGTCTGGTGAGGTAGCCTTTCACCACAAAACCTAAGATAGTTTCCTGTTTTTGTTTTGTTCTGTTTTAATACTACACCTGACTCAAAGGTATCAGCTCCATCCGGGGTTCAGTGCTACAAATGGATGACCAATTGCAACTTCACACTCTGACTTTTGGAAACTCTTGACTAAGTCTCTGAAGTGAGAGGAGCTAACATTAGCGATGGAAGTGGAGTCCAGGCTAAATCACAGTGGGGTGGGGGATCATTAGGGTGATACGAATGCACTGTGTTCCTTAGCTGATCTCTACCTTATTTAGCCCTGCACTCTTCCCAACCTTGGATCCGGTGATGTCGTGGTTCCCAGACTGTAGTGCAGCTTTCTTGACTCCGGCCTTAGACTGTTCCTGCAGCCTGGATACTCTTTGTCCCTCAGCTTTGTGAAATGCCACCTCTCCGTCATCCCTTCCAACTCTATTTCTTGAAGCATTTAACCTACCCTACCTTATGTGAGAGGCAATATATTGCTCTTATTAGGTCATTCATTTCCTGAGAGCAGAGACTGTCTCCTCATTCACTCCCAAATCCCTCACAGCCATAGCCCAGGGCCTGTAGTTGCTCAACAATTATTTCTTGAATTAAGTGAAAGCTACAAATTGCTTTGTGTATATTGTCTTTTCACTTTGATCCTGTCCTAGTGATAGAAAAGAGAGGCACTGAGTGCTTTGGTTCTTGAAAGGCACTTTTTAAGGAGTGTTCTGTGAATATCCATTGGGTATTCCTAGCCGATGCATTGATGAGTGTGCTTGGTGGTATGGGTTGAATTGTGTCCCCTAAAAAGATACTTTGAAATCTTAACTTGGAAATTGTGGATGTGACCTTATATGGAAATAGGGTCCTGGCAGATGTGTAATCAAGTTAAGATGAGAATGTACTGGATTAGTATAGACCCTAATCCAATGAGTGATATCCTTTTCAGAAGAGGGAAATTTCGACACAGACACACAAGGAGAACACCATGTGATGATGGAGGCAGAGATCAGAGTGATGAGTCTATAAGCCGAGGAATGCCAAGGATTGCTGGCAACCACCAGAAGCTAGGAAGAAGCAAGGAAGGATCTCCCCTAACACCTTTAGAGGGAGTGTGGCTCTGCCCACATCTTGATTTCTGACTCCCAGCCTCCAGAACTGTGAGAAAACAAATGTCTCTCTCTTTTCTTTTCTTTTTTTTTTGGCTGAGGAAGATTCTCCCAAACATAACATCCATTGCCAATCATCCTCTTTTTTTTTTTTTTTTTTTTTTTGGCTTGAAGAAGACCAGCCCTCAGCTGACATCTGTGCCAATCTTCCTCTATTTTGTATGTGGGACACCTCCACAACATGGCTAGTGAGTGGTGTAGGTCCATGCCTGGGATCTGAACCCATGAACACGGACCACTGAAGGAAACTGTGTGGAACTTTAACCATTCAACCACAGGGCTGGACCCTAAATCTCTCTTGTTTTAAGCCACTAGGTTGTGGAACTTTGTCACCACAGCCTTAAGAAACAAATGCACTGGGCAAACGCTGGACTTAATATTGCGCTAGTTGTTGATATTTTTACTGCAGAACTTCTCAGGTCTTTAAGATGCTAAGTATGACTCTCAATGGGGTGTAATATGTAGCATTTCCCAAACTTAGTTTCCCATGGCATCTTAATTTTGTAGCTTTTGATCATCTTGGGGCTGGATTCCATGCAATGCCCTTTCCACGCCCTGCTCTAGAGAGTCCATGAAGAGGGAACACTTCCTCAGAGCCCAGGGTGTGGACATGCCCTGGCACCACTGACCGTCTTCCAAGGGCAGTGCGTGGACGGAATGGTGAGATAGTAATAATGACGATAACTTCTCAGTTCTGAAGTTTTCAGAGAGCTTTCACATTCTTTACCTCCCTTGACTCTCAGTAACTCATGACATAACCAGAGCAGATAGCACCTTACGCATGAGACTCCTTCCTTCCTTTCCATGCTAATTTTAGAAGGAATAAAGATTCTCTCTGGACCCATGGCCCTCTGATACACTAAACCTTTCTCTAATGAGGTCAACGTGTGGCTTAAATGACTTGATCCTGCTTCATCACATCCAAGGGCTTCTGTACATACGTGTCCACTGCCAGGCCCAGAGAGCCGAGAGGGACTCTTGGAAGAAAACTTCCTAGACGAGCTTTGTTTCTGAGTTAAGTTTGTGGTAAGGACTCTCAGGGGAACCTGGAGGGAGATGGAGTATCAGAGATTGTGGCAGGGCTGAAAGACTGGTAGGATGTCTTTGGGGAAGGGCACATGCCTTCCCTAGAGGACAAAAGCCCTTCCTCCTTCAGCACGGTCCTGTGTTATCCTCGTGCCCTGAGACCCACCTGTGCTAGCTGCACAGAGAAGGAGAGACGGCTGCTGCTTCATCTGCTTTCCAGAGCAGGTGTTTTTACACCTCCCTCTAGACACCTACAATTTAATTTCAGATTTTTCTTGAAGCTTCAGCAAAAGGTGTCAACCTCACCTCTCCAAGATACTCCCGTGTCCACTCTGAGGGCTGGTGCTGATTGTGAACGCCAGAATTCATCTACTCAGACCAGTACTTTTCTCTAACTGATCCCATCACTTTGAATTACAGCCATGAGAGAACACTTGAGTGAGCTGAGCAAGTGGCCGGGATAATTCAGTCCTTGTCAGCCATCTCTTAGGAGCACTGGATGATGTGCTGCTATTCCAGATGTCTGTGACTGTGCTGTGATTAGAGGCTGTGAGTTTTGGGGTGGGCACCAATGTCACGTTGGATTACCCGCCTTCCCAGTGATGGCTCACTCGCATTCCTGTCCAGACCAGCCTGGCCTGGCTTCCAGCAGGGCTGGGAGGGAGAGCGAAGAGGGATGCTGCTGTCTTCAGGGAAAAAGAAAGAGGGGAGTGACAGTCACACACATCAA